CCTCCCTGTCTCTCTCAGGTACAGTGCAGTGCAGTACAGTGTAGTATAGTGTAGTACAGTACAGTACAGTGTAATAAAGCCCACCTGCACGCCTCCCTGTCTCTCTCAGGTACAGTGCAGTGCAGTACAGTGTAGTATAGTGTAGTACAGTACAGTACAGTGTAATACAGCCCACCTGCACGCCTCCCTGTCTCTCTCAGGTACCGGCACACGGTCAGTCTGGGCGCGGGGGCGGTCATGTGCCAGTTCTGCAAGCCGCCCGCCCAGCTGGAGGCCACGAAGGGCTGCACGGACTGCCGCGCCAGCTTCTGCAACGAGTGCTTCAAGCTGTACCACCCCTGGGGCACCCCGCGGGCCCAGCACGAGCACGTGGCGCCCACACTGTCCTTCCGGCCCAAGGTAGGGACAGGGGTCTCTGCAGGGGCTGTCCTGTGTGCGGTGTGCGTGTATATACTTGTCTCTCACCCCTCTCTCCTCTCCTCCCTCTTTCCTCTCTCCTTCATCTCTCCTCTGTCTCTCTGTCCCTCCCTCCTCTCTCCTCTCTCCTCCATCTCTCCTCTGTCTCTCTGTCCCTCCCTCCTCTCTCCTCTCTCGGTCCCTCCCTCCCCTCTCCTCTCTCCTCCATCTGTCCTCTCTCTCTCTGTCCCTCTCTTCTCTCTCCTCCATCTCTCTTCTGTCTCTCTGTCCCTCTCTCCTCTCTCCTCCATCTCTCCTCTGTCTCTCTGTCCCTCTCTCCTCTCTCCTCCATCTCTCCTCTCTCTCTCTGTCCCTCTCTTCTCTCTTCTCCATCTCTCCTCTCTATCTCTGTCCCTCTTTCCTCTCTCCTCCATCTCTCCTCTCTCTCTCTGTCCCTCTCTCCTCTCTCCTCCATCTCTCCTCTCTCTCTCTCCTCCCTCTCTCCTCTCTCTCTCTGTCCCTCTCTCCTCCATCTCTCCTCTCTCTCTCCTCCCTCTCTCCTCTCTCTCTCTCTCCCTGCCAGGTCCTGACGTGTCCAGAACACGACCAGGAGAAGCTGCACTTCTACTGTAAGTCTTGCCAGCGACTGCTCTGTCCTCTTTGCAAGCTGCGCCGGGCCCACGCCGGCCACAAGATCACCCCGGTCGCCAACGCCTACCAGGCTCTGAAGGTGGGTATGACACAGCACTGAGGAATGGGGTG